GTCTGGCGATCTACAGAGTCTAATTTCAATAACTGCCAGCACATTTTGCTTTGCAAATTGCTATAAGCCTCAATGCTCTCATACTAGTAATCTAAACACTAAAAATAAATACAGGTGATATTCATCTTAGTGATTGATGCTCTATTATTTTTCAATCTTCTCATTGGGAAGACATCCACTCTATATAGACTTTCTCAAAGCTAAACTATTTTTAAAATTAGAAGCAAAATTATACAGACCCCAGCTGTGAAATAGTTTTCTCCAATTAAAGTGAAAAACCACACTAAATTTCTGTCCAATATATTCATAATAGCATTAAGCAGACATACAAAAAAAAAAAAGAAAGAATCAGACCAAGTACCTGGAATCTCTAAAATTTTCAAAATTTTTGATTTGAGAATCATAAAAATAATAATAATATAAAAATGCAATTAGAAATGTTAACTCAGTGAAGGATAAAGGGATTCATAAATATATTAATGGAATACAAAGTTTATAACTAAGTACAAATTAACAATGACATTTATTCCAAGGCTGTAATGAACTTCCACACAGAGCAAGTGTAACATGCCCAGGAAGAAATGTCAGTGTTTTCTAGTAGCTGTTAAAATGCTTTATTTGAATGTGGACTGTTAAAAATCCAGTAAGCAATCCAGTTTGTAGACTCAGAAAACCCCTATGCAGCACAGGCAAAAGCAAACCATTGAGAGGAAAACAAGGGAGTCTTCCTACCCAGGCTCCTCCTCCTGACATATTAGAAATACTACTTGAAATCTGGCCTTAAGTTTGATGTTCCTGTGCCTGGTGGATTCCACTGGCAACCAAGCAGATTCATCACAGTGGTCACAATATAGCACTTACCTTGAGTTGACAGTGAACTTGGTATAGTAGGAATCAGACTGGCTCAACTAGTGGGAGACCTGCTCTGGCACTGATTGTAAGGTAAGGCCAAATATTTATCCTCCCTATGTCTTGGTTTCCTAACCTGGAAATAGTCCTACTCATGGACAGTTTAAAACTAATAAAGTAATCAGAATCATATCAACAACCTCAGCCTGTCTGGGTAAAGATATGGAACTTTCAGCGCCCAACCCCAACCCCAACCTCTGGGAGGGGAGAGGTACTGGAGACTGAGTTGATCGCCAATAGCCAATGATTTAATCAACAATGCTGATGTAACAGAAGCTCCATAAATATCCTAAAAGATGAGGTTCAGAGAGCTTCTGGGTTGGTGAACACATCAAGGTGCTGGGAGTATGGCATGCCCAGAAAGGGCATGGAAGCTGCGTCTACCCTCCTTCCCTGAAACTGCCCTATTCTTCTCTCCTGTTTGGCTGCTACTGAGTTCTATCCTTTATAATAAACAGGTAATAGTAAGTGAACTGTGAGCTATTCTAACAAATTATCGACTCTGAGGGGTGGAGTAATGGGACCCCCCCCATTTAGAGCTTGTAGGTCAGAATCAGAAGCATAGGTAGCCCAGACTTGTGAGTGGAGTCTGAAGTGAGAGAGGTCATTGTGGCGGAATGGGGCCCTTTATCTCTGGGGTCTGTGCTAACTCCACATAGTTAGTATCAGAATTGAATTAAATTGTAAGACAGCTAGTTGATGTCTACAGAGAGCTGAAGAATTGACTGGTCTAGAAAACCCACACATTTGGTGTCAGAAGTGTGAGGAGGAACAGACTTTGCAGTATAAGCTAAGATGATTGTGGATACCCGAAAGAGTCAGTTACAAATTAATGTAAGTACATAAAAATACCATAAGCTGGGAAAAATAGTTAATTGGTTATTAAAATACTACGAGATAAAAAATCATCAATGCCAAATATATTCCCAAATAAATGATTTATTGAAATACTAAATGCTAAAAACTGTACACAGCTAAATATTTTCCAACATACTTACATGACAGCATAAAGCAAAGATCCCTAGAATTACTATAGTTATACCTATACTTAGGCATACCACCCTATTACTCTTTTGGTTTTTGGTGGGTTTTTTTGTTTGTTTGTTTGTTTTCACCCTATTACTCTTTATCCTATCATCCTCGGCATGCCTAAATTCATTAAAATGGCCAAACTTCTTCAAAATTTTCTTCATTTAAGATTGCCATCATTTAAGATTGCCATCTTCACGAAAACACCACCATATTCAAGAAGACTTGATTATGGCAGCTTGGTAAAGGGGAACAAGCCCAAGCATTAGTATCTGATAGACCCATCCTGGAATCAGCCACTCATCACATCATCTTGGGCAAGCTACTAAACTTGCCTTACCTTCAGATTTCTCAAGGCAAATAAGAATAATAATAATAATAAATGCAAAGTTGGATTGTTGTGGGAATTAGAGCTAAAGCAAAGATAATGCCTGGCATATGGCAGATGTTCAATAAATGCCAGTTACCTATAATACTTACACAGTTGGTATTTGCTTATAGAAGTTTATAATTACTCCATGAATGTTAATTTCTTTTTCCAACCAACGATAAGTTCAGTGAGCACAAAATCTTTTTATAGTACTTCTTTTGAATGTTTCACAGTCTAGTAGACCAGTTGGTATACAGTAGCACAAAACCCAAATTCACATCCCTAGAATCATAGATACATTAAGAGTTCTTCATAACCCTAAAGAGGAAGAAATGAGACAGCTTTAATTATGAAGATAACAGTGACCATCAAACTACTGTTGTGACTAAGGAGAGGGCAAGGTGGAGGATTCCTGAGTGGCTGACCCCTGAGGGAGTGCAGATATCCACAGAATGAGAGAATGGAAGCTCTTGAATGAAGTCCTGGGCTGAACTGGGCTGTGAAGAGAGTTGAAGGTTTTGGAAGAATGGTGGATTATAGAAGATTAGAGACAAATTTAAAGAGAGTTGTATGTCAGGGCTTTTTGAGTAAAGTGATGGGGAGGTGAGAAGCATGAGGAAGTATGAGTGTGGAGGCAGCTGAAAGATCTGAGTTAAGCTTAGGGTGGCTTAAAGAAGAGCAATTTTCATCCATGAGTAAGACTTACACAGAAGTAACTTCATTTCAACCCCCCCAGAAAGGTCAATGAATCAGCTCTGGTCTGGTACTGGCATTGATTGTTTTGAAGAAAATACGTTTTTAAATATGAAATAATTTATAATTCTCAAAAACCATTTATATTATTTGAAATATATCTGTTTTACATTAAGAACAGATAATTATGTACCACTACATTTCTGTTAAAAACCTAGATTGAGAAGTTGCTAGAGATTATTAGACTACATTGATATTTTACCTAAATGATCACAACGGCCATCTTTAAGCATCTGTAAGGTATAAAGCAGTGAGGAGAAACTAGGAGCTGTCAGCCAAAGGAATGTTCTTTTAGTAGCAGAAAAAACACGGTCAGAGAATTTAGAGATGTCTGGTTACAAAATTAATTTAATTTTCAATTCACCAAAGCTTCTCAGAGTTAAGGGGCCTTTCTTAAACCTGAATATAAAAGTTATCTCGATAATGACAGTGGATTGCCTAAGGCTCAAAAGGAAGAAAATAAATCAGGACCCAAATGTGAAGCAATGAACATAGCTCTTTCTGTCTCCATAGACAGAACTGTGTGTTTAAGTTCCAAAGAGGGACCCTCTCAACAAAAATGACTTTGGGGACTAGAAGAGTAGTGAAGGGGACTACTTTTCCAAGCTCTTACACCAGTTCTAATTAGACTTGGAAGACTCCAGAGTTAAAAGAAGAAAAAGAGTAAGAGTCTATTGTAAACTTCCTAGAAGGATACCTGTCTGTGTACATACCTACATCTTTAAGTTTACTCCTAAGAGCTTTAAGATACTTAAAGGTCATTCAGTTTATACAGATATTTTAATAGTGTTATTTATTTTTTAGAAAAGTTTAAATGCTACACTCTGGGATTTATCTTTCTTTCAGCTCTCCCTATTTGAGGAAGGAGATTTATCATCAGTACTAAAGATCAACCCTGGGGCCAGCACAGAATGGTAGTAGGTATCAGAAATGTCTCAGAAGAAGATAGAAAACACCTCTTGGGAGCAAATGCCTTTTTATAGCTCAAGTCAATTTGAGTGGCAGAGGCACAAATAAACAGGAAAAAGGAGTCAAAACTTACTGTGGAAATGTTCCACACCATTGTACCCATATATTACATGATATACAAAAAAATCCTTACTATATAATTCTCTCTTGGTATGGTATGACTAATTTTCACTTCATTCTTATATTACCTTGAACCTGTTACCCACATACATTTTTTTTTCTGTTTCTCACTTGCTATTCTCCATTCTCTCCCAACATTTAGTTAAAGAAATTTTGATCTTCTGCAGCAGTGGAAAGAGGCAGAAAGTTAGCCAAATGGTCTCAAAACTTATTGGGAAACCTTCTGCTTAGAGGAAAACCTTGTTTAAAGTAAATATTTTATCTCATTTGTTTTGTTTTGTTTTGTTTGTATACATAAACATAACTCATAGAGCTGAGAAAACAGTCTGTGAAGTATAAATAGACCATGTTCAAAGTTTTATCTGGAGCTTTATAAAGGGACCAAACCTAAGTTTTCTCTATGTATGATCATTTACCTTCTTCTTTATAGTGCCCAGGACAGCATGCTTCCTATGACCTAAAAGGCTAGATTGACTTTGCCTATTTTGGAGATTACAAAAGTGGAATTGAGGGCTGCACAGACTTGTTCAAGGTCATACAGATGATAAAAGGCAGAGCATAGCTTCTCACTGATTGTTCCTTCTACCACCAGCACAACACATAATTGGATTTCCTTTCTTCTGAAGACTCTAAGAAGGATCATTTGACAACAAGGCATAATTTAGCCTCCATACCTTAAAGAGGCATCACTCTACTATCTTTGAAACAGAATAGAATTTTCCAAGCAAAGAACCTGGAAATGGAAGCTATGGACGCCATGGGGACAGAACAAGGCAGAAAGCATTTCCCTTAAATACGTCTATGTTCAATGCCCTAGACTGAAGAACATTGTCATTTCAAAGTCACTTACCCAAATCTGAAGCTTGATTCTCTTTTCATTTTTGAATACGGTTTTTACTTTGAAATCGATCCCAACTGTGCTGACGAATGCAGATGTAAAGGAGTCATCCGCATAACGGAACAGGAAAGATGTTTTCCCCACACTGCTATTGCCGATGATGAGCAATTTGAACATGTAGTCGAAGTTCTGATCAGAGGAGTCTTTCTGGCCATACCGGGCATCTTGGGAAGAGGCCATCTGTGGTTAAAAAAAAGAGAGAGAGCAAGAGAGAGATGTGGATCAGTCTTCCATTTGATATGAAGCTAGCAGCACATTCATTATTGGCCTTGCCAGAAACAGATGTCAGACCACTCAGGAGACCAGTTGAGCATCCTCCCCAGTTTTCCTCTGATGCTGGTATCCATGGCAATAATTGCCTGCTGGAAGACAGAAGAGCAAATCTTACAGCTCTTTCCAGCTGTGTTGGTGTTTGTCACTGCTCAGCATTCAGAACCAATCAATCAAAGACACCAAAGGAGACATCTATAAGGGTTACATGAAAAGCAAAGATATGAGGAACTGGCCAGAGCATGTGGGCTCTGAAACTTTATAATCCCAGTGATGGACACACCAGTGTCTGAACAGCATGGTGTTTCTTACTGAATTATCTGAATATTAGAGTCTCTCTTATTTCCTAGGAAAGTGCACCCAAAGCATGTATCTATTTCATCTATTAACATCACATTAAAGCAACATCCTAAAATAAATGGCAGTCCCTTCAAATTAAAAATGACGATGGCAAGTATTTATAGTTCAAACACTGTGAGAAACTTATTTAACCCTAACAACAACCCAATGAAGTAGGTTCATATGCAAACGAGAAAATTGAGGCTCAGAGTTATTAAGTAATGTGCTCAAGTTCACACAGGTGAGGAGTAGTAGAAGACAGAATTCAAATCAGGTAATGTCGTGACAGGGCTCACGTTCTTAACCTCTACTCTAGCTTTCAATGATGACTAGGGAAATATGCACATGTGCTCTAAAAGACAATGTAGGAAATATTCATTATGAAATGCAACACTGAAGAATCCTAGCTGGGTTCAAACCTTGGCTCTACCATTTCCTGGCTGTGTGACTTTGGGTTGGCTTATTATTTTAAAATAGTGTGTCTCAGTTTTTTCTCTTACATGAAATGGGAAAAAATATTATCTAACTTGGAACATTTGTAAAAGAATAGATGATATATCTGTAAAGCAGATATGTGAAGCACCTAGCATAGCATAGAGAATGATCTTTATTATTAATTATAAATGCTTTATATGGATGTTGATTTTTTTCTCACTTTTTTGATGATCACCTTAATATCACCAAAGTTGATGCTGCCTTACTTCTTAAGGATTTTATTCATTTATTTTAGGGAGAGAGAGAGAGAGAGCAAGCAGCAGGAGGAGCAAAAGGGGAGGGAGAGGGAGAGAATCTCAAGCAGACTCTGGGCTAAGCATGGAGCTAAGGTGGGGCTCGAACCCACGATACTGAGATCATGACCTGAACCAAAACCAAGAGTAGGACACTCAACCAACTGAGCCACCCTGGTACCCAGTGATGCTGCATTACTTCTAAGTGCCATTCGGCTCAAAAGAAGTGTTTAGATGGTGAATCGCACTGATTAGTGCATTTACTTACATTTTCTGATGCTATGAATTCTTTGGCAATTGCTGTGGTATCCAATATACTCCAACATATTAGCCACTAGTCACAAATACCTCCTTATATTTAAATTAATTAAAGTCACATAAAATTTAAAATTCATTTCCTTAGTCACACTGGCAACATTTCATGTGCACAATAGACAATAGCCACAGGTGGCCAGGAGCAACAATACTGGACATACAGGTACAGGGCACTGGCATAACTGCAGAAAATTCTATTGTGCAGTGCTAGGCTAGACAGATAGTCTTTTTTTCATTTCCAATAAAATCTGATGAATAATTATCTTTCTCTTGGGGAAGGTGGCCAAGAGAGAAGCCTAAGAAGATAGTAGAATGCTTGAAACAGTAAATAGTGCTCAACCTCATCTAAGACAGCATCAGCTGTTCAAGTCACATGCGTTGTGTTTATAAACAATTAAGGCAAAGGGGGAAAAGGAGATGGTGAGATAAATATATCCTCTTTCTACAGATACTTAGTGCCAGTAAGAGAACACAATTATATGTATAAGAATATAGGAATAAGGACAAACAGAAAATCTGTATGTATTATTAAATTTAAGGGCAATACAAATTTTGATTACATTGCACACTTATTAAATATCAGCTTAAGCATTTGTCTTTTTAAGTCCATGTAACCACACCGATGTCTTCAATAATTACAACTTGGAATGAGTGCTGGTGAGCGAAACTGGGCCACTACAACAGGCAGATATGATTTTCCCTTCTGGCCCAGGCAACTACATGCTAAAGTAAACCTCCCCCAACACAAGCAGCCAGCCAAGGACAAAACAGGATTATAACTGTGGACTATAAGTTTGAACAACGATGTCTTGCTCTGATGACTTCTGACGCCCCAGAAAGTCAGGAAACTGTTTCATGTGGCACCCCAATTCCCAAAAACATAGTCCTTTCACCAATTAATACAACCCTCCTCCCTATGGAAGTGCTAAGTTCAGCCAAGCCTGCAAATGGCCTTTATTAAGATCTTTTATAGGAACCGGCCCAGATGCTAGGTTCTGGGTTAAGAATGTTCAGCTAAGCCACAGTCAGAAAATAGACACTACAACTTTCCTAGAGCTGCCCATACTCAGCCTGATAGCCTACCATATATTGCATCCCATCACTATAGGGTGGTATCCAACTGAGTCCTGTGGATCTCCAGGATGCCTTACAAGAAAATGTGACTGACAGCTGCTATCAATCCCAAATCCTATTCCAAAAGTGGATTACAAAACCTGCAGCAATATCAACATCATCAATACAGAGACTTTTTGAATATAGTTATAGAGATTTAGATGGAGAAAACCATATTGGGGCTTTCTCTGGGATGAGAAATTGAGGATGTTTAATTTCAAGGGCTGATATACCCTGCAGTGTCAGTAGCAAAGAAGGTGGTGGGAGCACAGAAGGTGTCTAGGATGAAGGAGGACAAAGCTGGTAAACAGGTGTATCCAGAGCCTCTACAGGACTAATTAGAAGAGTTTCCTAACATGCTATTCTTGGAGATAATTTTTTTAACTATTTCTTGATTTATATACCCAGTAAGATTCACAAAGAACCAAAAAAAATGTGCATTGGGAATGCATAGGTCTTTCATTAAAATTCAGAATGATGAAATACATCCTGGCCCAGAGGATTGAGAAAGAAATTTCCCTAATCTTAATGAGAATGGAAAAGAAGCAGTTTGACAGCATATGAATGTCAGAGACACTTGTCTTCACTATGTCAATTTATTGACACTTCTAAATACTAAGTCGTGTGAACATTTTCATAGTTTTCATGGAAAAATATAGCTGATATTTGAAAACATGAGTACATATGAAGTAACCTCCCAGAAAGTAAATCAGATTTCATAAAAGATAACTCTTGAAAAAAGGTGACTCTTTAAATTGCATTAATCTTGAATTAATTCAAAAAAATCAGGGAGTTGGAAAGAATCTTCAAAGTAGTCCAACCTTCTCCTCATCCCAAGAGTTCCTTCTGCTGGCATCTCAACATCTCAAGTTAGTATTCTAGCTGGGCCCTTCACACAGAGTGACAAAAAGTTTACTACGAGGTTGTGAAGTACCATATTCCATTGCCGAACAACTGCAGTTTTTATAAATTTCTTTCTTAAAGTTAAAATCTCCTTCCCTATAGCTTCTTCCCATGTGTTCTGGATTCTGCCTTATAAATCAAGGGAGTTGATTCCTCTCCCATCTGAGAGAACTTGAGGTGACTGAAGGAACAAATCACAGCCCCATACACTTCCTCTCACTTGAATGATCCCAACTGCCTTACACTTTTCCCCACGCAAGTCATGTCGGAAAAATCCCCCATATCCTGCTAGATTAACTGACATCTCTCCAGATGTCAAAGACCCATGTGTGGCTCCTGAAATTGGTCACAATATTCCAGATACAGTAGGGCAGAGTAAAATGCGACTATTATATTTTATCACAGCTCACTTAATTAGGTCTCCTCAAATGCTCAGGACGTTTTTCACATTAACTGTAAATAAACATAGGTCTCCTCTATCCCCATTCTATACTTGGGCAATTGATTTTTTTAATGGAAATGCCAACATCTATATGTACCCTGTTACATTTCCTCTTGTTTGTTTTGATTTACAATTCAATTCTGATCTGATAATTTTATGTCTTTTCATCAAAAACATTGGTTATCTCTTCCAGATATGCCATTCCTAAGTTTGATCAGTATGCATTTTACATATTCATTTAAGGCTCTGATCAAAATGCTAATCAGTTTGTAGACAAAAAACAATAAACCTTTTACCCTGTTGAATATATATAAATCTATAGATGAGACCTCTACAATAGGTCATCAAGGAATTTGGCAAACTTAAAGCAAAGCCTTAATCTCTGGGACTTGGTGCACTGGGAAACCATTAGGTGTGCCTTGGTTCAACAACAGGTGAACAGATCTTGGATTTAATTGATGTGCCAGTTTTAATTTCAATTCTAGTTTCCCCAGAAGTCCTACTGACTAGGGACCAAACAGATTACTTCTGACTAACACATGCAATCACAGACTACTTCAGAATTTTTGACATTTGTTTTTCAAAATAAATGGGAAAAGCAAATTACTTTCAGGGATTCCTCTGGGCACTTAAGAATCTAAACTACACTAAGCTATTTTGTGGATCTCATGAGAAAAACAAAAAGAAGTCATTTTAAATGTACTACATTCCCACTACTTCTAGTGATATCAGCCTGAGGGTCAATGGGAAGATGAACGAGGGTAAATTATCCAGAAAAGGACATGCAGTTCTTTGAAACTGGAAGGATGAAAATGAGGATGGGGTATATGTATTGGAAGTATAGAAATACATCAAGTAGTTTCAAATCTTTATCATTGTTGCCTGGGAAAAAAAGAAAAATCATAATAAAAAGAATTATTCCTGAGAACTCTAAAGTCAAAACTAAAATTTTAAAACCAACCAGGAAAATATGAAAAGTTAGGGTTCCCGAATGTCCATCATCTGGCCCCCAGATGATTTCTCCTGGGGAAGGTCTTGGTCTGTGCAATTCGTTGCCTCCCTGTTTGTCT